CTGCACATGATTTGATGACACTCTTTGTGAATCTTGTTGACAAAATTTCTGCTTCAGGCGTCATTTCCTGAAATTGAAGTAAAATTAGTTTTTATTAATTGGAAAAGATTACAGAAACCAAGCATTTGCATCATGTAAATAAATTACCAGCACGTACCCAAATAACCGAGAAAGCTAGCCTTTCTACATCAGCTCTAAGCGAACATATATCTGCAAAAATGATGATCATTATCACTTTAGAATAAGAAAAAGAAGTAAAAAATCAAGTATAGTATCCAAAGAAAACTTTTTTATAAGCAAAACATATTTGGAAGGGAAAAAAGAAAAACATAATTTACCTTCTGTCAGAGGCTTTGGAAGCATGTCAATTCGGCGCTCAACAAGGTAGACAGATGTGCCCCTCTGGGATGCTTCATCATCCAGTGGGGTGCCGGGATGAACAAAATTTGTTACATCAGCAATATCTGATCGAATATTATTAAGGAAAATTATATGTGTTTAACGATAATGAAAAGATATCCATCATAGCGGGGGACAAGGGCTCCAGAGAGGAACTTTCAAAAAGAAAGGTAACATGCTATGGTTCACAAAAGCACATCAATATTCTAAATAAGTAGGAATGCAATATTGAGAGCAGCGGGTATGAAAGAAACTCTTGAAGAACTAAAGGAGTATAAGGCATGTTTAGAGCATGGATTATGGGTAGAATATTCGTGTATAAAAATAGGATGATAGGATTATTTCATACACATATATAATCCCGTCCTACCTATAATCCATTCACCAAACACACCCTAAGTCTGGATTAAATAGCAATAACTGAAAGATTATTTTCCTCAAATCTTAAAACTTTATAAAAGGTAATGAGTAAGAGATGCATATCCGTATCAACAATGACTCTGTTCCTTCACATAACATGTAAGTCTGCTATCATAAATATTACATAGTCAACTTATTTAGGATACGGACTCCAACTTCATAGTTTCCATTTGGAAGGGCTGTACAGTGTAGTGCATCATCAATGTCCTTGCATCCTGCACATCTAAGAGGGTGAGTATCTTATGTCATTAACAAAATACAGAATTCACTACAGTCCAATTACAATACACACCAGGGGGATCCACACTAAAGACCCTCAAAGATCGCAAATCCAGCCTGGTAGAATTTGTCACATCATTAATAGACACAGTCCATGGTAATGGAGGCAAGCAAGCCAAAACTTGGGCAGAGAAAGGCCTTGAGTTTATATCATTCTCTATCAAGACCACCTGCACCATGACAGACAAGCATTTACTAACATCAGTAATTACTATCAAACTGGTGGGGAGAGAGAAAGAAGGTGAATTTATCATATACCTCACTTTCGGTATCTCTATCACCTATTTCTCCTATAACTCGTACATAATGACCAGAAGGATAGCGAGATTGACGGTCCCAAGAATCAACTGCCACCATTATCCTCTTATCCAAGAGATTCTCAAGCTGTCGGGTTTGAATCCGAATCTTAGGAACTCTACGATCTTTGGAGACAAATAATGCAGACGTATAGCTTCCAGTACCAGCAGGCATAGGCATTGGCTCCAAAGATCCACAATAACTGCAAGTGATCATTTATTCAAAATAGTAGTGAGCACTGAATCCACAAAGTATTAATCCATGCACAATCAGATATATGAAGAATCGGTTAGAATTCTATTATCCGAAACTGTTATTTTAAAAAGGCTGCAGTTAAGCATCATAAAAGGTGTGCTGCAATGTTCTTTATCAGCTAATTTTGCACCCAACCCCCCCCCCCCCCCCCAACCCAAAAAAAGAAGAAGCTAATAATGCATTGCAATGTCCTGAACATAATCACTACAAATCAAAATAATACAAGCAGATAAAAATGTTAACAGTCCATGCATCAGAAATGCACAAAAACAAAATTCGAACAGGCTAAAGTAGGGATATAAGAAAACAAGGACCGAAAAGGTGAAAATACTTGGAAGGTCCCTACACACAAAAAATGTTCAATTTCGTCCCTGTACTCAAAAGGCGATCGATTTAGTCCCTGTACTCACAAGATTGGGTCAATTGAGTCCTCATTGAGCCTTTATTGATTGGACTCAATTGACCCAATCTTGTGAGCACAGGGACTAAATTGATCGCTTTGTGAGTACAGGGACGAAATTTAACAATTTTGTGCAGTACAGGGACCTCCCAGGAATTTTAACCGAAAACAAGTCATAGTCATGCATATTCAATTAAAACTGGCTTCACCTGGTCGAGGGGAGAGTTATGGTATGCACCAGCAAAGCAACAGATATATAAAAATAATTTCATGATGGTCTTACGAATGCCAGTTCCGCTTAATAATCCCAACAACACGGCCAGATGGACGAGATTGAGTAGAATTTGTTTCAGTGGCAGAACCTGATACCAGATTTGTAGTTCTAGGAGCATCATCAGCACTGCTTGGAGCTAAATGAGCATCTTCTTCTTCATCATCCTCTGCAAGTGAACAGGGAACATGATAAGAAATTTGAAAAATGCATGTGAAAGTGATAGCTGTATTCAGATATTCAGTCTGCAAAATGTAACCATCAGCTTAAAACAAAATGAGCTAGATGCATATATATTTTGTCTCCTTATGCAAAGGAAACCAGGATAAAAATATTGTTTCAGTAAGGAACGAATAAAATAATCCAAGCACTGTGCTGAGGTAAACACCTTTTTGTAATATCGAAGTGTGGTGACAGCATACTATAGAATTGTTTATCATAAACGGTTTATGTACAAAGAAAGAATTGGATTTTTCCAAGGAACCTAGAAAACAAAAACTCTAGTACCTTCATCTGCTATGCACAAGCTCTTCTCCTCATGCCACTGATCTTGAGGCAAAAGTTCTACAGCTACTATATCACCATCAAAAGCTCTGTTCATGTTTTGACGCCCATATATAATTATTTCATCACCTATGCTCTCACTTCCAACATATGCTTCAAAAGGGTTGTAACGATTAACACGAATCTTTCCTTGATGATATATTCCACGATGCAAACCCAAAGTGATCTCAGACATCGGCTTATGCTGAACAAAGAAAAGAAAAGATAAACCTTAGACAACTAATTAGTATCATGGGAACACAACTTAGCCATATTCACTGTTTACAATGTATGATGGCAAACAGTATTAGAAGAAATACCTCTTGATAAACAACTTGTCTCTTGGAAGGCCTCAAATCCTCAACCTTTTCCATAGCAACATCATCGGATTCAGATGCAGGATGGACAAGAAGGTCAAGCAACTCTGGTTGACCCAATGCTTTTACATATGACTGAACTGAAACAAGAAGACCCGTCAACAGTAAGGTTTATCCATGAATAATTCCAATGATTTGCAAATAGAGATGAAATGAGACAGTAGCAGTAACTTGATATCTGAATTATCAAGAGAGATGCATAAGTAAGAGAAGTATGCATACTTGTGTCGGTGGAAATGCCCTCTTCTATAGCTCTCCGTTTATTTTCTCTGTCATTGGTTATAAGTAAAACTGGTGTGGAAGGACCAAGATGAGTTTGATACCATCGACTAGCCACCCTAATTGCTGAAGGAATATTCACGAGAGTAAAGAAGTTAAGATTTTGAAGCAAATGAATGTGAATGGCAAATGTGGATAAAATTGAGGAATGGTGGATAACAACAAGAAGAAAGAGTAAAGACTGAAAGCAACCTCTATCATTGTAATCATTTGGAGTCTCACCATCCATGCGTTTTACAAATGTGTCTCTGTAAACAAAAGGAAAAAACAAATAAAGAAAGCTATAGTAATGCAACCTTAAAATAAATACAAGCACAGGTATAGTGATGATTTTATGAGTGAGAAACTGACTTATGGAACTGATTGCTGAAAACATAGAATTTGCGGAGAGGATTGGTGGAGAGAGCTCTAATTCTGTTATAAACGGCCATGTTTTTGTTCTTAACCTCATCCAGCACAACGGATAGCAGAACCACATTGTCTATTGCGGGATTCTCTAGCAAGTCAATCTTATTACAGACAAAAAGAGCAGAGCAAAGCACGTTTATTTTGACTTGAATTTAGAAACGCAGAAAATGATAGAAACCGATACATTGAAGAGAATAAAAGAAACCTGATGAAGAAGAACATTTGTATCGAGAATGAGAATGGCAGAAGCATCTAAACGGGCACACGAAGTGTCGCATAATTTGCAGGCAGTAGCTCCACAGTAAATGTCGTCTCGCAGATATATTTCTCTTACTTCCTGCCATCAAAAGCATCACCATATTCATCAAAGCCCTTAATTAGGGTTTTAAGCTTTAGTTAACGTTTCAGGATGACAAATAGAATTGAAAGGGGAATAAAAGGACTACCTTCTTTATTCTGCCCGCCTTAGTTTTCCTGCTGAATGTGTTGCTCTGCAACATCTTCTCTGCCTCCGCCTTCAACGGATATATGTATTTTGTGCTTTAAATTTACAAATTGCTTTGCCTTTGCGTTTGTTTTCAAGTTGGTACTAGTGTGGTGTGCGGAGGCGGCAAAGAATCAACGACAGTTGTTAAATTGACCGCCTTTTAAAACCTAAAAATTTCTCCAATTCACGACCCACGCACCCCGTGCCGTAAGATACCTGCTTTTTTTCAACCCGGGCACTCGTTAATTCCGATTGCAATTTACAAAGTTGGGCTTAGTGTTAATTGAAAATTTGTGTCAATTTATTCTTCGAGTTATTATTTGGTACAGTGTAAAATTTGGACTCATAAGAATGTGGATTTTAAGGGTGTGGATTTGGAGTATATTCATTTTCTGAATTAGTTTTGATTTAAAATTTTAAAATTATATTATAGTGTACACATGTCAATCCTTAAATTTCATATGTGTAGTTTGTTTTTGACACAAAGAAAGCTTATTTTATTGATAGGATCAAAACTGAATACAAAAAGTGCAGAAAATAGGCTAGGAAAACAAACAGAAACCTAGCTAAAAAATCAATGAAAAATCAATGAGGAGCAGGGACTCCATCCTTGTTCCAGATCTTGACTAATGAAGATGGAGGAAACTGTCTCCAGTCCCTGCAAAGCATCCTCAACCGAGATTGATTAGCAAACCAATCTGCCGCCTTATTGGCACTCCTACAAATCTTTCGGATTTCCTTCTCTTGAATACTGTTCAACATTAACTGAGTATCCTGTACTATGTGCTTTATTCTCCAATCAAGCTTCACAGCATCCTTTTCTATAATATTTCTGTGCAACTCTGCAGAATCAACCTCAAAATAAGCTTTATGACAACCTGTTCTCACAATATATCCTACTGCTTCCCTTAAAGCAAGAGCTTCAGTAATTAGAGCAGTAGTAGCAGAACACATTTTACCAGTAGCCTGCAACACTTGCCCGTCATGATTCCGAACCACAAAACCAATACCAGCCAAATTAGTCTTTGTGCAAAAAGACCCATCAGAATTTATCTTAAGCCAGCCTTCCGGAGGTCTTAACCATTTTTGCTCCTGATTTTCCTCATTGTTATCATTCTGCAAATTCTTCTGATGCAAAAGCTGTATAAACAAAAACTCACTCACTGCTTTCCTGATACGAATAACAGTAGAATCTGGACTAAGCACATTATGATTTAAGAGAACTTCACATCTAGACTTCCAAATGATCCAGCATGTGAAAGCAATCATTGAGATCATAGGCATTGCCTCATCTAAACTCTCCTGTAAAGAATTACAGAGATTCCACAACCAAACATCAAAAGAAGTAATGCTCTGTTTATCTATCATCAACCCACATATACTAAACCACACACCTCTTGTCCAGTCACAGGTTAGCAATAAATGTTCAACAGTTTCTACTTCCTGACCACAAATTCCACAAACTCCATTCAAGTGACATCCTCTCCTATATAAACCCCAAAGAGTAGGAATAACATTTCTAACACATCTCCAAAGAAAAACCTTAATTTTCGGAGGACAATTAATACTCCACATAAATTTCCATATCTTCCTATCTATCAAATGAGAAGTAGATGCTTTCTGACCAATTTGAATACAACCATCAAAATTTTTCAATTTATAATAGCCTGACTTAACAGAATACTGACCTGTTTTAGTGAATGGCCATATCCTCTTATCAGTCCTTTCAACAATCCCCAGAGGGATACTACAAATTGCTTTCCTTTCAACAGGGGAGATCAAATCATCTATCTCAGTCAAATTCCACTGTTTTTGGGAAGGCTCTATGAGTTCAGAAACCTGTTCTGGTCTATCTTGAAGCATATCCTCAGGAATATTTAACATGCCCACTTCTGGTATCCAATTATCATGCCATATCTGAACTTGCTTACCATCCCCGACCTGCCATACCAGATGCTCTTTTATAAAATTTCTGCCCTCTAGGAGACTTTGCCAGGACCATGAAGCTCGTGCCCCCTTCTTAGCAGTCATAATATCAGCATTCGGAAAATAAATGCCCTTGAGAACTTTAACCCACATTGCCTCTGGATTCTCCAAAATTCTCCATATCTGTTTTGCCAAAAGAGCCCTATTAAAAGCTTCAAGCTCCTTAAACCCCATACCCCCTTCTTCTTTTGGCAATGTCATTTTTTCCCAGCTGACCCAGTGAATCCTTTTCTCATTATCTTGTTGTCCCCACCAGAAGTTAGCAACCATAGAATTGATATCTGCACAGACTTTTTTTGGGAATTTAAAACACATCATGACATAGGCAGGAATAGAGCTTGCCACTGCTTTAATCAAAATCTCCTTGCCTGCGAGAGATAACAACTGTTGCTTCCAGGATTTCAGCCGTGCTTCCACCTTTTCCTTAATATAGCTCAAAGCTCCACATTTAGTTTTTCCCCAGGTGGATCGAAAGCCTAAATATATTCCAGGATTCTCTGCCTCTCTAATTTGTAGACATCTTGCCAAGTCTTGCCGAATATCAGCTGGAGTGTTTGCACTAAATATTAGACTAGACTTGTCCAGATTGATAAGTTGTCCTGAAGCAGCTGAATAGACCTGAATAATATCAAAAAGTCTCTTGGCATTGACAGGGTCAGCTTTGATAAAAAACAAGGAATCATCCGCAAAAAGTAAATGGGATAATTCTGGGCAAGTTCTAGTAATTTTAATACCAGAAATAGAATGAGAATTCATACCTGTTTGGATCATCCTAGAGAGGGCATCTATGACCAAAATGAAAAGATATGGGGACAAAGGGTCCCCTTGCCTAAGACCTCTAGAAGGAATAACCCTACGACTCGATTTACCATTTATAACCAAAGAATAGGAGACAGTACGCACACACTCTAAAATCAAAAAAACACCAATTTTGATTAAAACCAAGTTTTTTAAGAAGAGCAAAAAGAAAACCCCATTCCACCCTATCATACGCCTTACTCATATCCACCTTCACAGCCATATCATACTGATTCCCCTTCTTCTTCAACTTTAAGTAGTGAAAAACCTCTTGAGCAATGACTACATTGTCATGAATTTGTCTTCCTTCCACAAAGGCGCTCTGATTTTCAGTAACAAGCACATTCATCAAAGGCTTCATTCTATTCACCAAGACCTTTGAGATAATTTTGTATGTAAAATTACACAAACTGATTGGCCTGAACTGGGTTACATCCTCAGGTCTCTTTACCTTAGGGATCAGCACAATCTCTGTTGCATTCATCTCCTTCAAGAGTTTCCCACTTCTGAAAAAATTCCTCACCATTCTGCAAATATCATCCTTAATCAGATTCCAATGTCTCTGAAAAAACATTCCATTAAATCCATCAGGGCCTGGGCTTTTTAATTCTCCAAGTTGGAAAACAGCAACTCTTACTTCGTCATCAGTAATAATAGCTGTTAAACCAGAATTCATTTCATCATCTACCAACTGTGGCACACACTCCAAAACTTCCTCCCAATTTTCAGATCTACCTGACTTGAAAAGATTATCATAATAACTGGTAAATTGAGTCATAATATCCTCCTCTTCTTCCACCCAGTTATCCCCATTTTTAAGTCTCAAAACTTTATTCTGCTGTCTTCTTTTCAAAGTTGATTGATGAAAAAACCTGGTATTAGCATCTCCACTTTTAATCCAATTGATTCTAGCCCTCTGATGCCAATAAATCTCCTCATGATTCCAAATTTTCCCCAGCTGATTCTCCAAATCTTTAATCATTTCACAATCCATAACAGAATCACCAACATTCTCCAAATCAGAAATAGCTTTAATAATGTTTTCCTTGGACTGTTTATTTTGATCTTTCTCTTTGCACCATTTCTTTAAAAGCTCCCTGCATTTTTTAAGCTTACAAATCACCTTATAAGCATCATTCCCATCAATATCAATCCCCCAACCTTCTCTAATAATTCCATCATAATCATCAGATTCACACCAATAAGCTTCAAATTTGAACTTCTTAGACCCTTTCCCATCCTTAACATCAGAGCTGAAAATAAGAGGAGAGTGATCAGAACCAAGGCTGATCAAATTCCACACCTGCGATCTTGAAAAAGTTTCAAACCAAGCCAAATTCATTAGACTTCTATCTAATCTCTCCTTAATAAGCCCATTTTCCCTAATACCAGACCAAGTAAATTTTTGGCCTTGTGTAGGAACCTCCATCAGCTGGCAGAAATTAATAAAGTTCCTAAAGTTTTGCATAATTCTTTGCTCTTTAGGATTGCCTCCCTCTTTCTCATCCTCATCCATGATATCATTATAGTCCCCTATACACATCCAAGCAGTATCAATTCCCATAGCTTTTCTCTTTATCCTGTCCCATACAATCTTTCTATCTTTATAAATTGGAGCACCATAAATCCAAGTAATTCTGAATTTCACTCCATCTTTCTCAATAACAGTATCAATGAAATTTTTTGTCTCTTCTATACTATTAACAATCCACCCTTCTTTCCACCATAAAGCCAACCCCCCACTTAAACCCTCAGGATCCACATATACAGCTCCAACAAACTTTAGCTTCTTTCGAATTCTATCCACCATACCCCTATTGTTCCTTGTTTCCATAAGAAATACACAATCGGGATCATATTTGTGTATATTCTGTTTAAGCGCCTTTTCTGTCAAGGCTGATCCCAAGCCTTGACAGTTCCATGATAGAGCTACAAAAACTCTTGGGTGGCTGTTTGAGGCCAACCACCATCACCTTCAGCTCTATTTTCCTCCATACTAAGACTAGCAGAAAGGTCCCTCACATCAGACCCACTCCCCATCTGCACAAGAACGTCAAACAGACATAACTCATCCACTTGCCTTCTAGTCCAGACAATCTTCTTTCTCCTGCCTCTTCTTACTGTTTCCTTCCTTATACCCTTCCTCCCTCTTCTACTACCAGAAGCCCTTGTAGAAATAGTCTCACTAGCCTGCCCCTCAGCATTATCCTCAATAAAAACTCCAGAAACAGCTTTGCTTCTCTTATTCACCCTACCATGCTCAATTTCATCCTCCAAACTTCTCTTTAGGGCAAGACTACGAATTCCAGAGCTTAATTCCTCCTCAGTCACCCTATTCTCCCTAATAATCCTTCTTCTCTGCTGAATAACAGTAGCAATTCTGTCTCCCATATCAGAAGGAAACTCAGAACTCAAAGACTGATCAGAAATATCCACTTGACTAGTTGAGGGAATATAAGTATTCAAGGTTCTATCAAAAATATAACATCTAGGCATAGGGTTAGAATTTTCAAGAGTAGACTGTTCTTGCTGAAGCTGTATTTGATCAGAATTTAAAGGAATTTGGCTTTCAGTGTTTAAAGGGTTTTGGATTTCAGGGCTATAATGATCAACTGCATGAAAATTAAGGGTATCATTATGTGCAGGAACAAGAGAAGAATGTAAAGGAGGATCTGGATTATTGTTAGGCTCGGGAGAAAAGTGCTGTATAGAAATTGGAGAAACATTCTGATGACTATTATCCAAACTAGCAATAGGATTTCTATTTATCATAAGTTGATACCCATCCCCCTCTTGATCAATATAATCTTCATCTTCAGGAGGAAGGTAGGAAGGATCTCCTGTATCACTTTGATTGTCACTCACAGTATCAGGGATATTATTTAGAGATGGAAGGCTAGAATGTAAGTGGAAAAGATTTGAAACATGATCAGGGTTATGAAGTGAGGCAGGAGAAATATAAGATTCTTCAATCATAGGTTTATCAACAGGGGGAACAAAGTTTTCAAAGCATTCTGTTTCAGGAATCAAGGTAAACATATGAGGTTTTCCCTGAAGCTGGACTTTAGTAGTATGAGACATTTCCCCCCTCTGAAATTGCATTGAGAATGTCATTCCCTCATTCTTCCACCTATCAGAGAACCTGCTTTTCACTCCTTTCCCACCAGTAGCCATATGTGTAGTTTATTAGATTCCACTATTACGATGTTTCACCATTCTCATATTTATTTATATTTTATAACAAAATGTTAGTTTTATTGCCAACAAAAACAATATGTTATTTCGATTTTTTTAATTCATTTCTTCAAATATGTACTAAAAAAAAATCATTTTTTCAAATTCATAATGTTAATTAGTATTGAATATTTACTTTTTTTTTTGTGAAATAGTTTTTCTTTTGTTAAATATTAAGAATTAAATGTGGGGATTACATACATAGGTTGGAACTTTTACTAATTTTTTCAAGTACAGTGTTGTGATCACATGTGATATATGTATAACAAACTTTCTTTTTTTCTTAATACACCGCAAACTAAATTTGAAATTCATCCTTTCAAATTGATTTCCTAAGGCAAAATAATCTATAGTAATCTATGCTATTCCAGAAAAAAAAATCTATAATAATCTATGGTAAATTCCTTTTTTTTGTCAAATATTAGAGCCTTTAAAGAAATGTTAATAAACCATTTTTCTAATGAGATTAAACATGCAGCTCTTAGCACTAGACTAGAGGTGTATAATTCGTTACAACTACTAGTTACTGCAACACAGTACATTTTTGTACGCATTGATATAGAATATCTTAATTCCATAATCCATACATCCATATACATGTATATATGTTTTTTTCTAATAGAATTATATTAGAAAGATATTTACAATTCAAAGTCAAGAGAAATAACTACGGATTTAGTAAGTATTTTGGAAAATAAAAACACAAATTAAAAGAAGTCATCAATTCCATCCAATTCATTCATTAATTTTATAGTAGTAATTCAGAAAGCAATTGGTAGCTTGTACATTTTTTTTTTAGGTAAGGTAGCTTGTACATTTATTTATCGTAAAAGCATAAAGTTTGAAAAATAAATCATTGATTCCAATTGAGTTGATTGGAAGGAGATCAAGTGCACATATACTTTCCCTCTATAAGATACAACAAGAATCGACTCCGAATTAGTCAAGATCCAATATAGTCATATAATAGGAAAAACTTTTTCTTTTTATAGATATACAAGAACACTAGTATGTATAAAAGAAGTTTGAAAAAGAAATCAACAGAAATTTACGGTTAAATAATGAAGTATTTAAATTAGGAATGGAACCCTAACCACTAAAATTAACAATCAAGCACTTTACCACCACCAGATTTAATGCGCGATCACTTAAATACTTAATACTAGAAGTTCCCGGCCGCGCTTCGCGTGCGGCTGTTTTATTTTATAAATTTTTTTAAGAAAATTCAATTAAGAAATGAAATTTTGTTGTGAAACGATAACAAAACAAAACAATGGGGTAAAATTGAAGTATGGAAATGACAAGAGAATAGAGAAACAATAGAATATGGAGAAGAAGAAAATATGAATGGGTGAAATTATTCTCATTCATCTTATTCCATAACAAAGTAAGTGGCCTATTTATAGGCACATAGATACATCACCATAAATATAAGGGGATGAACTTAGCACATAGGTATATGTGTATGAATGAATCAAGTCATCAATCTTATCCATGGTTTAATTAGATTCATGGACATACACAACATACATGTATATTCATAACAAATTTATAATTTTTTATGGATAAGATAAATTCATGTATGTCCATAACAAATTTATAATTAATTTATAATTATTTGATAATTTATTTTACATAGGAAAGAGGATGAATGTCTTTTAATTTTTCCAAATTAAATGAATACAAATATAATAAACAAAACTTTAGAAAATTAATTATTGACACTTGTCAAAAAAATCAAATGCCAAGTGGCACTCAATGAGGGTCTTGCACATAAAATTAATAATAGGTTTAATTACTCCCTACTTAATTAAGGTTTATCAAAGGCTCACTCGAAAAAAAAAAAAAAAAGCTCACTCAAAAAAAAGTTTTCGAAGGTGTATATATCTTGAAAAAAGATGTTACGGTAGAAAGAGAAATTATTACATGGATCGGGTCCACTACGTCATTTATGAGAAATTATTAGGTGGGACGGACCCATCACGTCATCTATGAGACTAACCAATAGAATTTTGCCATGTCAAATTACCTCCTTAAATTAAGGCACGATTTTAACCAAGGTTTAGCTCCCTTTTAAAACAAACCCTATATAAAGGGCAAGTCCCCAAATTTGAGATTTTATTGGGATAGGGTTTTAGAAAATTGATGAGTTGTCTTCATATCATTGGTTGGTCCCATAGATGACGTGGTGGGTCCGTCCCACCTAATAATTTCTAGTCATTTATGGTCTCGATGAATAAGATTTTGACAAGTCAGATTTTTTCCTACAATTTCTAAAACCCTAGCCAATTAATCCTAAATTTAGGGACTTACCCTGAAAATCTCATCTGCTGAAACTTGAGGCTAAATCTGGTGCTAAATTAGTGTCTAAATTTTAGGAAAAAATTTGACTTGTCACAATTTTATTGGTCGAAACCATAGATGACGTGATGGAGCTAGTACATCTAATAATTTTTGCAAAATGATTGGATTTATATTTTTATTATATTATATAATATATATATATATATATATGAGTGATTATATGATACACCGGCGGTGTAAATTTTGGACTCCACAAGCGGCTTATGGAGTTGACACATGTCCATTTTTTTAATTAATTAAGTTTTAAATATTTCAATCTAGTCCCTAAGGGACACATGACACCCTTAAAGACCCGCTTGTGTAGTTTTCTAAACTCCACCACCGGTGTATTATATAATTTGCCTATATATATATATATATTTTCTTTTTAAGATTTAGACACAAGTCGCAAAATCGGAGATCCTAAAATTGCAGGCTCCCAAAGTCCCAACCAAGACTGGAATATTCCAAAGCTGCATAATTAAAATTGTAATTCTTTGCCTTTAAGTAACCAAAATCAAAGCCACAGCGTTCGACTTCCAACTTTCATCTCCATAATAATATATAACATACTGTATATATATGTTTTCCGTCTCATTTAGTAACAAAGCAACTAATCTGAAATCAATCGCAGATGAGGCGTCTTTTGTGTTTCCTGTTGCTCATTGCCTCTGGTTTCCTCAGCTTTAACCCAATCCACGCGTCGGACGCCGGGAGCACCGCCATCATTCTATCAACTTCCCACACTCCGAGACTCGGAGGAAGATCGCTCTTATCTCTCTCGTCAGTTCCGTAATCTCTTTTTCCAGATTAATTTGTTTGTTATTCCGATCATGATTATAGTCTTCAATTTCTTTTATTATTACAATTACAAATACCATAAAAACAAACAAGTTTCGAGCTTTTGGATAGCCATAGGTTTCGTTCAGTTTAATTTGGAAATGTTTGACAGCCTGTTCAACTCAATTTACAATTACAGGCTCCTGTTTTTCTCAGAAAATAATTGGTAGTAGTGGTACTTTTGTTTGGAATTTAAAGTTTGCTACTAGAAGCCTGTAATTGTAAAAGAATTTGAAATAGAATTACCAAACTGTTTAATCAAATATCATAATACTACGTTTACAATAACATTGTTATTCTTTCCTACTACTGTTACATGCTGCATTGAAACAGTGAGCAGGAAACAGAATTAGCTGCTAGGACGGACGGTACCATAGTTTTAAGGACTCAAAATTCAAAGAGAGTAATCTGGTCATTTGCCTCAGGCTCTCCCATTTACTCTTCCTTTCAGGCCCCATCCACATCTGATACTGATACTGATAACGCCAATGAAAATGCCTCCCAACCTACCACTGCTTTCTTCATTGATTGTGGTGATGATTGGGAGCTCTACGCGCATACAGCCCAATCTAATAAAATGGTACGTGCTGCTTTTATTAATTTACTACTGCTTTTCTGCTTCAGACTGTCTTGTTATGTCTGTACAGATTTTCCTCTAATCCCCGGTTTCTGCACTTACTCCGTCATTGCACAAGGTTTTATATGCATAAAGAAAACATGTTATCACTTTGTCATTGCCCACGTTTATCTTAATTTTCATCTTATTGTTGTTGGACATGCAGAAACTTTCTGTCTCTGTTGAAGAATTTGTCAAGCACATGCCTCATGTATCCGAGGATGGGGCAATCACGCTTGGCTCTAAGACAACAACTATCTTTGTGGTTGATGCTATGACTGGAAGAATACTGCATGTTTATAGGTCACCTGATTCTCCATCCATGTTGGACAGTAATAAAAATGAGACTTTTTTATATGATAGTGATAATGTTAATAAGGAGCTGTTGGAGTCTTCTGTTGCTAACAACGCTAAGCATCGATTTTACATCACAAGGACTGACTACACACTGCAGTCTTTCCATCCTAACTCGGACAAGATTTCATGGAGTTTGATGGTCGCTGAAATCGGAGCTGCTTTACTCTGCCAGGATGTTGATGTTCCTTACATTGCATCTACCCTGAATTCAAGCAATGAGCTTCTTGAAATTGGCACTGATTTTGATTTGCCATTTCCTTGTCAATCAAAAGGTGTTGTTATTCGTGAGCATGATACATCGGAAGATATAGCTACTATTCGTCATGATGATCCAATGCTCCCATTGCCTGCTTCAAATGGGCCTTCTTCAGAGACCAAGCTTGGTAGGTCAATAGATGATCATCAAAATAGGAAGATGCTTCTAGCGGCTTCTCCTGACCCGAAGCTTCTGTCACAGCCCAAAGTTAATCAATTATCAAACTTTTCTGAGAACAGTGATAATGATACAATGGTTCCATTGCGTCCCTCGGAGAATAATGATTCTATAAAAGTTGATTTACATGAAATGAGGACACCTCATACTGATGACCGGAGCACTTTTGCCAAATATCCGATTCCAGTAGTATTGTGCTTTATTTTATTTATCATAGTCGTGTTGGCCTTTTTCATCTATCACAATGTTCTTGTAGCTAAAGTGCTTGCCGCATTAAAGGACCAGACTGGTGCTGACTTAAATGCTGGAGCTTCCAAGAGGAAGAAATCCCGAAGATCAGGAAAGAGTAAT